ACGTTGCACTTCTGATGGATACAGCGTCGTTGTGATGATGGCGCTCATCGCTGCATTGTCCTTATTGATGGAGGGCTTATCACTGGGCAAGTCGGCACAAGCAAATCTTGGGTGGTGAGTGCAACCTGAGAGGATTGCAAGCAGAGAGGACGAAACATGGCAGTGGTATGTTCCAGTGGTATTCCATCCTGGGTTTATGGACCAGCCGTTGCTGCATCTGCCAATTCGCATCATGGTCTCAGACATGCCATTAGACCATCATATAGTGATATGAGAGTGTATAGTGAAGCAAGCAAGCGAAGGAAGCAAGCAAGCGAGGAAGGTAACCTGCCATTTGGCGGGAAGCAGTTGATAAACGATAAACACGTCTTCACACATACCTCGTCAATTTTAGCTGAAAGAAATTGTTCCGGCATTCGTAAAGTACTATGCCTTTCCTTGACGCTCTGTCTGGAGTTAGACTGTATTTCTTCAGAAGAAATTACATTGTTGAGAGCATCTTCATCTAGAAACTTAGAGGCAAAGCTCAATACCACTGCAACATATGTTTTATCTTCAAAAAATGCGGTTGTCTTGTTTTATCGTTCGCGCATAGAAGAACTGGATGGCAACTTGACTCGATTTGATGCGGTTTCCAAAGGGAAGGAAGAAAGGATAAAGAGTCCGGGAGACAAGTCGTTGGTTTTAAAGAACAAATCCCAATTCATACTTGTGTGGAACAAGTCCAACGAGCTTAAGAACGGTAGTTTGGTAACGTTAAAGAAAGTATTGAATGACAAGCTTTCCATTGACTTCCATGAGGACCATGAGGTCGGTAGCGTGTTCATTGTTAAGGTTATTTGGAATCAACAAAATTGGCAAGGTTAGAACATTAGGAGCGTCATTCAATCTCCTGTGATTTCGGCGCCTGGGAATTTGTCTTTGGATTAGTCGAGTAAGTGTCTCAAGAGTCCCTCCAGGTCATCGACCTCAAAAGTCCTCAGATCTCACAGTAAAGCTCAAAGTAGTAAAGAGACTGGAAACTTGCACCTAACCCCAGGTTGTTGCCAAAAATGCTTCATTGCTGAGGAGAGTTCCTCTGGGGTTCATAACTTTAAAACATTGTAGACAAGGAGGGAGATGTTGACGAAGATTTTTACAATTTCCTAATAAAGGTGCCGGATGGAATAGTACAGGCTTACCTTGAGAGCAAGGACACAGAAGATATCAACGCTGTCCGCGGGTTTCCCTGATTTTGAAGGCCTTTTGAAGGAACTAAAAATGCTCCGAAATCAGTTTGATGGTTAACCAGGCAGTGAACACTCGAACAGCGCTCTTTTTTCACAGAATATGTAAACCATTGATTTGATTTTTGGTTTTTGAAAATCGCTTTAAAAATGGTAAGACGCCGATGACCTCACCATCAAAGTTACACGGGACGAATCTCAAAACTGTCACGGCTAAACAACACGAATTGTTTTCTTTGCCCTACTTTCCTTTAATTAAGGTACCTCTCAAACACTTCCACCTGCACTGCACCTCCTTAAGGAGGCAACTCGGTTCCAGGAGGAACAATTAATAGTTCTTCTCTGACGAAACCACGCTTTTGTCCATCTTTCAGATAGTAGAGTACAGACTCGCCTTTATTCAAATTGGTTTTTCGATATTGAAGACCTTCAGAGACTAGATTGGATCTGTGGCTCGCCTCTGATCACCTTCTAGTTCACCGGCGGTATAGAGACGTCTCGCATTCTTTGAGGAGTTGAGTCGTTTAAGTCATTGAGCTCTTTGCGTCTATCGACTTGTCTTTGATTCATCAATCGGGCTGCCTTCCAGTCAATCTTGTCTCTTCGCTCATCAAGGCTGCAACAACTTCTCGAAGCCTCTTCACCCATTGGGTAGATCTCTTTCCCTCTTTGAGGTTCATCTTCTAACTTTATTGGAAAGTGAAGAGATTCTCACCCAAAGTTCCTAATCCTTGAACATTCCCTCTTCTTATCCTAGCACTGTGCTTTGTCATCTCTCTTGTGACATCACCTATGAATTCACGCCCAGAATCAACTTCAAGAACTTTTGGCCATCTTAATGGTCCTCGCTTAAAGATTGTCTGAAAAGTCTTTGAGACCTCAGAGGAGTCCTCTAAAGTGAGAGGTTCGGCAGCCTTGAATCTGCTTGCAACATCAACAACTGTCAATGTGTACTTATGGACTTTCTTACCTCTCTGGAGCCTGTCACGAGGAAGGAAAAGAAGACCAGTTTGATGAACTGCATTTGGAGATTCAATGTCAAAAGTTGTTCTCGGGATATGCTTCGGGGCAGACAAATAATTCTGCCAGATGGCTTGCCTCATCAACCAAAGCTTTGCAACGTTCTCAGACACTTCAGCTTCTTGAGCCAACTTCTTCACAGCGGGCAATCCCTTCCAAAAGCCCTTTGGGCTATCGTAGATTCTTGAAAGTTTTATTTCCATTGTACGGCTTCAAAGCATAATCCGTATCAACAAAACTCTGTTTTGCCCGCTCCTTGACTCTGTCACTAGTTGCAACCCAATTGAGAAGCTTTGTTCGATTTTCTTGATACTTTTCACAGCGAGACCATGCCTCTTTTTCTCTTCTTCAGCACTATTCTGGGCTCCACTCGAATACTTTGCGAAATAGCTTCCGCCAACAAAGGCGGTCGCATTGATGAGCGCTCCTCTGATCATTATTGCTATGCTTGCTTTATTTACCTGCAACTATGTTTCTCACACCCTCCAGATCTTCAACATTAGGGACCTTTAGCAAACCACGACGGCAACGGCAACGAAGGCGCGGCAAAACAAAAGACTACAACTACGCCAGACTCGAGAGTTACGTTCCATTTTACTTTCAGTTTTAATTTATTTTTTCTTTTATTTTTTATTAAATCTTTGAAAAATTGTAAAATTTTGAGTGGCAGCTCTCGGCCACCATAGTTGTGTCCATTTACTCAAGTTGTGAAGTTGTTTTGATCTTGAGTGATTTATAAGAGTTTTTTAGTATTTTGATGTCAGATTTCGGAGAGGCCTTGTGAGAAAATAATGCTGATCTTAAAGAGGCTTTGCTGAAATATGTCGGGCAAGGATTACAAAGATGAGAGATGTTAGATTTCCTCACTCGTGACTTTCCGCTTTACGCGTGGAGTGTAAGGATGCTTGATAGAAGGCTTCGTCATTTTGATATTTTTTTCAATGATGGTGCTGTTAAAGTAGATCATGTTATGAAGGCATTTGAAACTGAGCCAAACGGGCCTGGAAAGCTATTGGGATACCACGCAACGCACCCAAAAAAAATAAGGCAATAGTAATTCAAGTAGTTCCGGACGGAATACCGGACCACATTTAGAACTTTCCAGAGCAATATGAACTTGAAGACTGTGTTAGGCGGTATACCCATGTTTATGTGAAAAAAAGAAAAAAAAAAGAAAAAAAAAAGGTGTCTGGATGACCCTTAATTGGAAGCGGAGGGGGAATGAACAGAAAAAGAGGGGCATGCAATGGCACTGAGATAAACAAAAAAATTCCCGTTGGTCTGAACCTATGAGACATTAACCCATTGACACCTACTTGTAACGCGTTCCTATCCAAAAGTTAAAATTTTGGAGAAACCGGAAAAGAAAACACAATGCGCGGTAAATTAGACTTTCGTTTTGGATTGATTTTGAGTTTATTTTTTATTTCGACGTGAATTGCCCTTGGATTTCAGTTTAATTTTGAAATGATTTTTACTTTGATAATGCAATTACTTTTGCTTTTAAATTTGCTTGCTATTTCATTTCACTTTCAATCATTCTTTTTCCTTTGTTTTGCAGTCACGTTCCATTTTACTTTCAGTTTCAATTTATTTTTTCTTTTATTTTTTATTAAATCTTTGAAAAATTGTAAAATTTTGAGTGGCAGTTCTCGGCCACCATAGTCCTCCAAAAGATCATAAGTGAGAACCAATCAGAATGCGTACATAACTGAGCTTGATCATATAAACTCTCATAGAGCACGCTCTTTCAACCAATGACAACACGCATTATATCTGAACTTAATTATAATACAATTTTATCACAATGTCATGCGTGTCACGCGGGAAAACTATTATGTCGAATAGGGCACGTAAATCAAATCTCTCTTTCGTTGCTTTGGCTGGTTGTTGTTTTCGTTTTTAGAATTATGCGTTGAAAATAGAAGGAACAGCACATTTTGCTTCAGGTTGTGTGGAATACATACGTTGGAGTGAATCAGGCAGCGGAGATAAAATGGTGCCTCGTCTCGCACTGGCTATCCTAAGGCGAGACAGTTTGAACGAGACAATTTGGAGTGGCTGTTCGATTCCGTTCGAGGAATGATTGTGTGGAAATATTCACCGGTCAAGTGTTTCACCCCTTAAAGATATGGCGAGGTAAGGGACAGAGATTTAAGCCCTTCACTGACACTGAACTGAGCTGACTTTCGATTTGATATTTGATATTTCACAAATATAGAACGCTGTGATTCAATGCTGGGTTGCCGGGCACGTTGTCAAACAGACTAAATACAACATCTCACCGAATGGTTCTTTCAAACTTATCAGTGAATTTCAAATCTTTATTTGGAAATTTGAAGCGATTCCAAAAATTAACGTGGTCTTTTAGTGGACAAATTTTCCGAGTTTGTGCATACTAATAACCATATAAATATCGCTTGGTTGTCTACACTTAGAAATTGTACGCTTCTGATTAGACTGTTGGGCTCGGTCTCGAGTAGACTTAAGTCCAGTTCAAACGTCGCACTTCTCATGTGCCGAATCTAATAGTTATCTGGGTAGACCCAAATTAATTAAATTCGACGTTGGTTTTAAATGTCGAGTCAAATATTTCGAATTTAATTTCTCTACTGTAAAATGTGAAATAATCCTCGTCTCAAGGTCTTTTCGTTAAACATGGCGGACAACTACTGAACATTTACAAGAATAAGTATGTTTAAAATGCCCAGTGGAATGCAAAGGCATCACTTTGTTTTGCTACAAACATCAACCACATCCTCCTAAAAAGGAGGTGCATTTTAAGCGTTTGTCTGCTTTTGCTGATTTCCTTGATGTAACAAAACCGAGAACTGCAAAACGTCATTACTCCTGTCTGCTCCTGTCGTCGATTGACAAGGAACACTGGGTGGTAGGAGACTAACTGGAGTAAGTACTAGGATGCAAGCTTTGAAAAGACGCTATGGGTAACACGGGCTACATTTCTATATATTTTGAGTTGTATAAGACATTAGCTGGAAAGAGAGATAGTGACTGAGGAGCCTTTGTCCCTTGAATTTAGACTTACTGTTTGTTTATATAGGTAAGGTAGGGGTGACCATTATTACACCATTGTGGAAATGTCAGGAGTTGGAGTTTCCACTGTGTGTACTATAGTGCAAGAGGTTTCACAGGTTGACTGTTGTGGAACAAAACTGTATCGCAGCACATGTCAGAGTCTGAGGCAGATTTTACAAACAAAACACTTGATATGGAAGAGTTTTGGCAGTTTCTGTGTTATTGGGAAGCCATAGATGGCTGCCACATTCTGATGAAGTACCCCCAGGTGGGCTTGAGCCTTACAAAGAAGATTATAACTTTATAATATTTAAGTCTACAAATCTATGGACAAGAATCCAAGAAGGTTACATTCCAAAGATGGGGAAAACCATTGATGATGTCACTGTACCATCACTAATTATTGGTGGTTCAGTATTTCCCTTGTGCCAGTTGCTCATGAAGCCATTTACAAATGCCATGCTATATCCACAGCAGAACTACTCTAATTATAGGCTAAGTCTAGCAGGCATGGTCACTGAGGGGGCTTATGGTTAGTTAGAAGGACGATGGCATGTATTATTAAGAAAGTGTGAAAGTTCAACTGATCAGGTCCACACAGCAACTCTTGCATGTATTGTTATATATAATGTGTACATAGAACGCGGAGACACTATACCAAACAAGCTTGATTTGACCAATAACCCAAATATGCAAGAAAGAAGACTTGTCTCAATAGGAACAAACATTTTTGTGCTTTTGCCAGTGTCTGTCTCAGCCTGATCTGTTTCCTGCCCTGTAGAGGAAGTGGTATCATCATGCAAATCCCTATTTGAACATGAGTGTTCAGCTGCACGCTCTGGTTGGCATGAATCCCTGGTTTTCACTACAGGGAAAAGCTGATAAAATGAGTCTCCTAATTCTCTTTCATCCTGAAAGCATTTGATTCCAGTGGACATTTTAATAGTGAATGGTGCCTGTTAACATAGACTGATACATTTTTTTAAATTTTGTTCTGAGTTGGTTTACTGAAGGTAGTAGAACTCTTCTGAGCTATTGTCAATGTCTTCCTCACACATCTTTTGGAAGAAGTTGTAGATTAACTGTCCAAAATGCCACAAGAATTTGTTACTGTTGCTGCATAATTGGAAATGTACATGGCAGTAGGCAACTGACATTCTCATGACCCAGCCTGGGCAATCCTCATCACCTTCAAAAACAGAGCAGTTGTTGCAGAAAGGATATTGGCACCTTAGGCAACAGTATTTTGTCACCTTGAAACAAGGAGAGCACTTATCCAAGTCCTCTGCAGCCACCATTTTCCGAGAACAGTGAGAACAGCACAAAAACTACAAATGGCAAATAGCTCAGTGTTGAATTGTGGGTAGAAAATATATTAAACAAACTTATGCATTGAATTAGGCACATGGGAAGTTTGACATTTCAACTAGTGTTGCACTTTTTTCATTTTATACAACTTGCCTTGGCAAATTTAATTGCCTGTCAGACTTAATTCAATTTGTCTAATTTAATTGAGTCAAACATTGAACTTCTCCTGTGCTAAATTTAACTATTTGATTCAGCACACAAGATGTTTGCTGTTTGAATGGGGCCTAAATGCCTGGCAGTGAGAAATTCTCATCAAAAATGTGCTCTATCAGAGTACAAAGGTTCCTTGAAACTTCTAGAGTATGATGTTTTTCTATAGAAATGTCAAGGGATTAAAAAAATTAATTTGGTTTTAGTGGACAAATTTTCTGAGCTTGTGCAACCCCTAACCCTTTAAACCCTACAGGTGATCAGCATCTAATTTCTCCTTTCAGTAATACCGCATTCATTATATCCATGAGAATAAAGGAAATGATTGCCAACCTAAGAGCCTTTAATTGTTAAACAAATTCTCCTTGTCAGTTTCAAAGGAAATGTATAGTGAAGAGTATGGTGAATATGGATGCTGATGTGAGGGTGCAAAGGGTTAACATAATAGAGTATATTTTTAGTATACACCATATATACACGTGATATACTACATCATGTATACTTTATGTATACTTGTTGTAGAGCTTTACTATGTGCAAAAAGTATACTTTTTGTATTAGTAATTTGTAACTGCTTGAAGTATACTATTAGTATAGCACATGGAGAAACAGTATACTAATAGTATACACCCAATACACTCCAAGGAAGTATACTTCTTTTATAGATATACAAAAAGTATTCTTGTAGAATTTTTTTTTCTCACCTTGTGCACACAAAGTATACTTTTTGTATTTATTGTGGTACGCAACATTTTAGTTTACAAAACACCCTTGAAATAGTACAGCAAAATTATAGAAACCTGCAGGACCATTCATGACAAGACCAATTGTTTCACTGTTAAATACATTTTATTTCAGCTTAGAAAACACCCTCAAAAGAGTAAATTAACATGCTGAATTCGATGAGGTGCCATTTCCGTCAAAATTCAGCCCTTTTTTTTTTTTTAAATGGTGCTTGCATTTTTGTAAATGATGCTTACATTTCTGTACATGCAGCCTTTGTTTTTTTTATATGGTGCCTTGATTTTATAAATGGTGCCTATAATATTGTAAATGCCGCCTGTTTTTTAAAATGGTGACAGTTATTTTCATAAATGGTGCCTACCGTTTTGTAAATGCTGCCCCTATTTTATATAATTTGGGGCTATTTTCCCCTAAATGGTGCTAAGAATCTTCTAAAATGATGTCTTTACTTTGTAAATGCTGGCTTTAGTCAATTTTTGTAAATGGTACTCTTTAAAAAATATGGTGCAGCAGTTTGGGGACTAACCCAGCCCTGTTTACAGAGTGAAACCTGGTAAGTAGTCATTTGCTGCATTCCTCTCACTCTTCCATTAAGCGGACAACCTTGTGAATGCAGTGAGGATGCTGTCAATGGCCATTAAACTTAAAATTGAAAATGTCTGTTGTAGTTTTCCAAACCTCGTTGAAAAGTTGGATGCCGATGAAGCACTAGAGAACATAGATCAAATCTTTAAGGCTGTTAATTGTTTGGATTCTCTGTTGAGATTGCCAGATGATGTCTATTGAAACATTTCCTCAGCAAGAAATATTCTGGAAAACTTAATGAACGTCAGTGAGAACTCCTAGAGTCAACACTAGTATTCGAGGTCACCCATCATATGACATTATGCAAGATCAACTCTACAGTCACTGATTGGCCAGAGCTTCACAGTGCCACAAATTGCCGAGTTACTGCAGGTATCAACGAGAACCATTGCAGCTGCCTCACTGAATATAATATGTTGGCTAGGTCATTGAGCATCATTGCAGATGAAGAATTATATTAGACAGTGACATTAGAACCATTAAGACCTTTCATCCCAACCGTGGATCAAAGAATTTGGCTGGGTATATTGCATCTCGTAATGTAAGGGTAACCAGGCAACAACTGAGACAGTCCTTGCAAAGAGGCGAGCTAGTGGGAATAGCTGAGCGCAGATGTAGAGCTATTAATTGGCGTGTTTATTTGGTATCTTGTCCGGTAGCCTTATGGCATTTAGATGATAGTCAAAAACTTATCAGATAGCGCTTTGTGGTTCACAGTTGCATCAACGGATTCAGCAGAATTCTAGTCTATCTCTCATGTAATACAAATAACAAAGCGTCAACTGTGTAAAGTTGCTTTTGAGATGCAGTAGCTCAGTGGGGACTACCCTCACGTATTTGGAGTGATTGAGGAGGTGAGAATATTGATGTAGTACAATACATGATTCACAGACAAGGAACTGGTGTATATAACCAAAAAAAATGCAACTAGTGTATATAACCAAGGGATAGAGCATCTGTGGAGAGATGTGTACAGTGATGTTCTGGAACTTATCAAGAGTCTCTTTACAGTCATGGAAGACATGGGAGAATTCTTGATTCAATCAGTGAAAGTGATTTATGGTGTTTACACTTCTGTTTCCCAAAAGTCATTAATGACAAGTTACAGGAGTGGGTGGCTGCTTGGATCAGACACCCCTTAAGTACTGAACACAATCTGACACCCCTGCAGTTATGGGTTCAAGGTAACTTTGAAAATGCTTGTTTTCAGCAGTCAGAAGGGCATGAAATTAATTTTTTTTCTGATAGCCACTTGGCTCCTAAGTTTTTCAAAGTGGTGGCCAATTCAAAAAAAGTTGGTCGCCATCTTTTAAGACAAACAAAACCTTTTTTTACACTGTCAGAGTTATAGATAGACCCTCCAAACTTAAGTTTAGAAAAAGATAGCATGCCACTAAGTGGACATTAGGATGGATGATATACAACCCTCAAGCTCACCTAAATCCAAGATAGTGTCTTGTTATTGATTAATATGCATGTGCTGCGTTTTGGAAGCAAACTTAATGAGGAAGTTTGCGACAGATTTATCTTGGCAAATCTTTTTAATTCACTGTATCTCTATGTAAGGTTATGATGAAGCATTCTAGTTGCCAATTTGGCGACTAAATTGTCAATGTGAAAAATTCAGTAGCATTGGCACCAGTATTTGGTACAATTTCATGCCCTAGTCAGTAATGACTATGGTATTGATTGGGAGGGTCCAGTTAGTGTTGACAATGTTTATGAAGACAGCATTGATGTGGCCACCACAAATTTCCTTCTGAATCAAGCTCAAATGAGTGATCTACAGAGAATGGTGGATGAAAGAAGTTACACAGTGCCATTGGCTATCCCATGGCTAAGTGTCAGATGTTACCTTTTGGTTAAGGACTTTGTAAAAGGTGGTGTCCAAAACAACACTAAGGTACCATTTAGCTAATGATGACAACAGATATTTCAACACCATGGGGTTTGACCATTTACATATTGTTGCTGTTGTGTCTTTATTCCATTTTCAGGAGGAGCTGGCAAAGATTGTTACCTGTTTTGAAATGGTGCAGGATTTAAATTGATAATGGTTTATTTATCTAATTAGCTGTGAAAAAATCAACCAGATCATTAAACAGATACATACCCTCTTGAGGCAAAACCTTCACTAAAAACATGTTCTAGTTTGCCAGGGAAGAGGCCTAGGTGTTCAAATTAAAAAGTATGTGATACATCCATGCCTTTACTTAAAAGAAACAGTAAAGTGTATAACAAACATTGTACCATGTACATTTACTGAGGAAAAAGAAAAAAAGATCAGGTACTTAGTAACTATAGCTAATGACAAATATAAAAACTGAAATCTGAACTAATTTTCTTGTATAGCTTAAGGATAATGTGCTTTTGTACAGCAGAAAGAGAGTTGCAACAAGACAGCTGTAACTGGAACATTTCCATAATAAAACCAGCAAAATGGATGTGCTAATACAATCCATAGTCAGCTAGTACCTTTCTTACCATTTTGAAAGTGACTATGTAATCACTGAACAATCAAAGAAGGAAATTGTTTGTTTCATCAAGACAGCCAGCACTAGGACTTGCATTAACATTAAATAAAGAATAAGCAAAATATTGTTCAACAGGAACTGGAAGCAAAGTGAAGAATAACTTTGAAAACGAGATATCAGGCCCTTATAATGCTCATACTTTTCCAAAGCCGTTGGCACTCATGAAGAGACTCTTTCATGAGCTCATTGAATTGTTGTAGGTCTTTGACACCCCTTGGCAAATGCTAGGTTTGGGCACAAGTTAATGAGCAGGGACTGCGGTGCACATTTCCAATGAAGTCATAATGGTGCACAGAAATCTAATTTTCAAAACCAGTGGAGAAACAGAATCTGATCCATTGATAAACACAAGGAGGTCCTTGAGTGTTAAACCATCTGCTTCATCCTCTTCAAGGTCCTTGAGAAAGAGCTCAAAGCAGTAAATTATGGAATCCTCACAGCTTCTGTTGTTTGATCCTACTTCAGAACATTTTAACTCTTATAGGGAAGTAAAAGCACTTAAGGTAAGCTTTTCATGACTGCTGCTCAAAATGGCTTCAAAAACAGATTGATTTGCCATTACTATGTTTCCAAAGTTTCCAATGCTGTTCATTCCTTCTATGAACTGAGCAAATTCTGCATGAACACTGTAGTCAAAGTTCTGCTTCAACAAAGTCTACTACTTCTTTCCTGTGAGCTAAATTGACAGTGAATATCTTGGAGTAACTGTACTGAGCAATCTGATCTGCAATCTGATCTGCATGCTTCAGCAAACTTTTCTTCAGAGCAACATGCTGCTGTAGCTCTCAATATCTCCTTCATCTGTGCATCAGCAACCTCCTCAATAGCCAGTGCTTGGTCAAAGGTTGCACCCCTGCAAGTTTTGTAGCCCTCTGACGAAAAGCATCAGGGACCATTATTGCCTTGCAAGACACTCCAAGCAACCAACTTTCCAGCTAATGCATTCTTCTGGCCACTCAGCTGATTAAGATCATGGGAAAACCATGGATCTCTTGGTTGTAGTTCAGGGTCACTTGCATCACTTGAGGTGGCTGTCTGTTTATCTAATAAACTTGCTTCTATGGCTGTAGGGAAATTTGGGTCTTGATCTTCATCAATAAGGTCAACATAATTGTCATAATGTGCGTGATGAAGGAAAATAGATGAGACGTGGAGTTCCAGGTACAGCTGGGACAGGATGACTCTTTCTGCATGGTGGTCATTAGAAGGGGCACATGATGTTCCAGGTACAGCTGGGACAGGGTCATCTCTTTCCTCCCATACTGCTGAGGGGTCATCATCTGAGTCAATATTCTCTGATGAAAGATTTACCGTAATTTCCGGCCGTTTACCCGCGGGTAATCTGTTGATTTTTCGTTAAACGCGCGCCACTGCGGGTAAAAGGGAGGTGCGGGTAATGTGACAAATTTAAAATCTACTGGCAGTTGAATTGAAAAAAATTCTCACCTACAGGCGTTTCCACCTCTGAAATGAATTTTACTGCATTAAGAGTGCTACAAAGCGGCACGAAAACGTGATGCTGACTCGAGTTTATTTCACGCATAATTAGTTGCGTGACGAACAAATTGTTATCGGCACGTGTGAAAACAAAATCTTGATGGTGAAAAAAGTAATCCAAAGATATCCGGCGCATCAATAACAAATTTCCATTTAACACTAGCTTGAGCTAAAGAGAATTTTCCCGTTTTAAGGGACTTGTTAGGCCCAATAGAACCGGAGATATCTATTTTTTTTCAGAAATCGCCAACAGTACCTAATAATTCAAGTTTTAACATTCACCCAGCTTTCTTTCAACAAATCAACATGGCGCTGAACGATCGCTCGAACAAAATGTGGCCACAAATACACATTCTGTCAAGTATGAAACGTTGAGATTTGGGCATGGGCGGCTAGTGTTTTAACTGTATAATTTTATTAATAAAGTACATGCTAATATTGACAAAGAAGCTTTCAAGTTTTCGAAAGTTAGATCAGACAACTATTATGCACACAGCATTCAGTTTGCTACATGCTTACAAAATAAATATCGTACATGTCTATAAATGTCACTGATGTGTTCAACAATAAGTGTTTTTATTTTGTCCTCTAACTCTGCATGCCACTAAGTATATCTATATATATATATATAAACTATCAAATATTAATTGGTATAGTTAAACATATTTCAACATTTAAGAGATTTTGCAAAGTTAAATAAGGGAATGAAGTGAAACTTTGTTGATTTCTTTCTATCAAATCTGTGAATAGATCATAATGGCTTCTGGTTGCTCAAACTGAATATTTGACTGTTTATAAATGGTATTCCAGGGGGAATAATTCTCAAATCTCTCTTCTGTGGTTCTGCTTACATCAGTTCAAAACACCCCTGCATCTATTAACTTTGGGAAGGTTTCTATGACAAGGTCTCGAATTCCATTTCATTCGAATCCTCAGGTATCAGCAATTCCCTCTGTTCTTCAGCATCTGGGGTCTCTGATTGATCCTTGTCACTCAAACAGAGAAATTTACATGTGATTGTTTTACACTTTTTGGTCTTTCTCTCCAATCCCTTGGCCTTTCGCTTTTTACCCCTTCTTGGGTTATTTAATGTTGCATTTAGGTGACTACTGGTATGATGAAAATGATGTGGAAAATAACGATTTCAGTTCCATTTCCACCCTTAAAGAGCTAGCAGCTGTCAGTTCCACTACTGAAGAGCTTGGAATACTTTCAACAGTGGTCATGACTTGTGTCGTAAGCCTTTCAGCAACCCTTGATGGCGTCCTTGCAAGCTTGTCCGCCATGTTGACAGAAGAATGAATTGAACACGGAAAATGACTAGTTACCAGGTTTTTCTCCGCAAATGGGTTAGTCCCAAACTGCTGCACCATATTTTTTAAAGAGTATTGTTTACGAAAATTGACTCGAGCCAGCATTTCCAAAAGTAAAGGCATCATTTAAGAAGATTCTTAGTACCATTTAGGGAAAAATAGCTACAAATTATATAAAATTAGGGGCAGCATTTACGAAACGATAGGCGCCATTTATAAAACAACTGTCACCATTTTAAAAAACAGAGGCACCATTTATAAAATCAAGGCACCATATTAAAAAAAAACGAAGGCTGAATATACAGAAATGTAAGCATCATTAACAAAAATGCAAGCACCATTTATGAAAAAACAGAAGGGCTGAATTTTGGCAGGAGTGGCACAACTTACCAATAAAATGGAATCATTCCTGTTACCCAGAATTAGGACTTTATTAAAAGAATAAATAAGTTATTTGCAATGTGGAATCTTTCTTTTTTCATAATCAAAATTCTAAAGCATGCATTGACTGTAACACTAACAATAATGTACAAGATTTTTGTTTTTTTTCAAGCTTATTATTATTATATGGTATCTAGTCTTAATGACCAATGGGGATGGGCAGGTATTTGCCTTTTTTCTCACAACAAAACCTGCAAAAGTTAACTTAGACAGTTTATTAGTAATGAATTAATTGTGAACAAGGAGTGATTTTGAAAAGCATTTCACTATAAAAAATTGCGATAAAACATTTCTTAAAATCATTTCAAGATTAAAAAAATTGCTAAAAAGCGACGACGTTTCAACGTTGGCTGAACGTCATTATCAAGTCAAAATAAGTAGTGATTTTTGGTCTATAAATACTAAAAAAACAACAATAGCTGATAAAAAATTGTAACGTGAGAAAATATCAAACAAAGAGTTTCGCACGTATGGAGTCCGTCTGAATATTTAAATTGGGCTTAAGTTTCTTGATGAAGAGCATTTCAAATACTAAGCAATCAAATTTGCTCCGGCACTTTCTTAAAACCGTGAATTGGCTTTCTCTCAAAAGGTTGTTGTTACCGTGAGCTTCTAAGAAATGTCTACCGATTGCCGAATTTTTGTGCTCAGCAATGCGTTGATGGTGTCGGGCTGTATACCCGACATAATCTGCATCGCACAGATCACATGAAAAATTGTAAACAACACACTGCTTATTAACAATTGACGGCTTGATTTCTTTGGGTCTGAGCTCTTGCCCCAATTTCTTGCTCACGAAAACTGGTTGCAAAGTAGGGCCAATCTTATGGCTAAGATCGCGTAACCGCTTACGAACCGCATTAGCGGCCACTTGATCTTTAAAAGGAAGACTAATTCTTACTGTGCTACTATCATCATTGTTTCTTTCTGCTTTGTTCGCTGAGGAATTTAGAAAAAGAAACTTTTTGATAGCAGAATCAATAACACTCATTGGATAGTCAAGGCGACTAAATATAGAGCGCAACTTGGCACATTCTGCATTGAAAGCCTCTGTTGTAGACGACAGGGAATAGGCACGATGTATCATTGTCTGTAATAAAGAGTCTTTTTAGCGTTTATCCTTGTGACTTTGGAGATGTAGGAGCAATCCGGTGTTTGTTGGTTTTCTGTAAACTTGAGTTTCAAGTTTAGTTCCGTTCTTGAAGATTTCAATGCCAATAAAAGGGATCTTGTTATCCACAGGAAACTCCATCGTAAATGTTAGACTGGGGTGTAGGCCATTCAGGGTACTAAGAAACTCAGCAGCAACATCAACGCTAGGCATTCTAGCCAGAGTATCATCGACGTACCTCTTGTACAACTGGGGCATCAAGCCCTCGCATGTAAGCATTTCTTCAAGATGACACATGAAGACATTGGCCATTAGAGGACCAAGGGGCGAGCCCATAGCCACACCATCTGTCTGTTGGTAGAGTTGACCATTAAACTGGAAAAGCTGATTGGTTGTGACAATTTCGAGTAGTCTAGCAAGCTGGTCCTGTTGCAGATTAAGGCCATAGGTTTTGTTGAACCAATCACCAGTGAAGGCTTTGTTGACTAAGATTTTGATAGTCTCATCTAAAGGCACATTGGTAAAAAGAGCTGTGACGTCATAAGAAACCAATATGTCATCTTCATTATGAATAGATTATGTCGGGTATACAGCCCGACACCTTCATCAACGCATTGCTGAGCACAAAAATTCGGCAATCGGTAGACATTTCTTAGAAGCTCATGGTAACAACAACCTTTTGAGAGAAAGCCAATTCACGGTTTTAAGAAAGTGCCAGAGCAAATTTGATTGCTTAGTATTTGAAATGCTCTTCATCAAGAAACTTAAGCCCAATTTAAATATTCAGACGGACTCCATACGTGCGAAATTCTTTGTTTGATATTTTCTCACGTTTTTATCAGCTATTGCTGTTTTTTTAGTATTTATAGACCAAAAATCACTACTTATTTTGACTTGATAATGACGTTCAGCCAACGTTGAAACGTCGTCACTTTTTAGCAATTTTTTTAATCTTGAAATGATTTTAAGAAATGTTTTATCGCAATTTTTTATAGTGAAATTAATTGTGACTGCAAATATATGAAAATCATATATGTGCACTGTAGTTGAAGAAACAAATATAGAAGTGGTCCTTGCAGTTGTGAACACTACTGAACTGGTAGCTAAAATAAGGCCTTGAAAAAAAATTCAGGTCTGTACAGGATTTGAACCTGTGACCTCTGCAATATGGTTACTAACTGTGAGAGTTGCTTCCACATTTGTTTCTTCAACCGCAGTGCACATATTTGATTTTCATATATTTACAGTCATTATACACCACTTGGAGGGTTTATTTGGAACCAACATAATGAGCAGCTCCCAGATTAATTGTACTAATAAAAATAACTGACAATCACACAACTTTCTCTTTCTCTCTTGTTTATAAAGCCTGATACAAACACTCAAGAAAACTGGAATGATTCAAAAGTTTGCATCAGGCTACTTGTACTTGTATGTATAACACATGATGTTTTCTTCTTTCTTACATGTAAATATCATTTCGTTCTTTCTTTTGACATACATGTAGATACCTTTGTTAAAGAGTAACACATGACTCTGCTTAAATAAATAAATGCTTTCAAGGATATCTTTCTGAGGGTGGGGCTTGCTATTGGCACCCTTGAGGTTCATTCCCAGCAGCTCATCATTGGTGTATAGGCAGTTCAACAAGTATGAGGCAACCGATTTAAATGATGGTGTAGCAACAACTTGTTGAAACTGGTGGCGATAGATGTATGCTTGAGACCCAGGACTGAACCATGTGTAGTGGGAAAAGAAACAACAACAAAAAAGAAACTTAAAAATAATTTAAAAAGACTTAAACCTGGCAAATGATGTGTACTAAATTTATACACCCAACTGATGTAATACAAATAATGTGTACTCTTTGTTTGCAAAAAGTATACAAATATACTTAAATTTTGATAAAGGAAACTATACTATATTATACTAAAGTTCTAGTACAATGTGTGTTGTTGTTGGTTGAAAGAGCATGCTCTATCAGATTCAATGCAATGTCTTATTGTTCATTTGTCTCTGCAGAAATGGCAAGAATTGCGTATCGAGGTTCATTTTGTTATAAAAAGCGAATTCTTCCTGTATTCAGGGGAAAAAAAACCTTTTTCCAACCACCTTTCCATTTGACAAGTGCCACTCAGGTTTTGGTTGTCTATAACTATAGAACTATAGTTGTCTACAAAAAAAATGAATGAAAGCTGAAGAAAAATTAGTTAATTTTAATTTTATTTTTGAATCTATAAGTTTTTTAAAAAAAAGTTTATAGGATCAACCTTCAGATATACCATGCTCTGTGAATGCATTGAGCACTATACCGTAAGGATAGACTAACCAAGATTTTTATATATATATATATATGTATATATTAAGCTACTGATAAGATGATACTCAAACATTTTATTAAACAAAAAAAATAAAAAAGGTGGTCTGAAGGAAACCCCTTCAAATACCAAAACCAGAAAAATGAGGTACTTGGAAGGAATTAAAATGTTTCTAAAAATGCAAGTCCAGTTTATGTATATGTCTAAACAAGTTGAGCAATAATACTGATCTAGGTATTAACTAAAGTACCTAAAAACTAACCATGATGACATCACTGTACTTCTACTAGCAATAGGGAACTTGACTAACAGGACAAGTCTGCAGAGGTTAAACCACTTGCACTAGGTAGGCAACCTGACCCCCTTTATTGGCCATCAATGCATATTTGTGGTATACGGTGCAAAACATTTTCTTTCTTTTTGCTATTGTATCCAACCCAGGGGAATTCCCATGTCCATTATGGCTGGAATTTCCGAATTCTACCCTTTTCATATTTGCACTAAGCACTATGTTTTTGCCCTTTGGGGTTAGATCTTTTACTGCTGACATTCCACAGGTCAAGTAAACTTGTAACATTGAAATGAAGCATGTGAAGTGAGTTTATTTGTGCAGGTTTCAGGTGAATCACGTGGATATGTAAGTGTCTTGCCTCAGTACTTTGAAAATGTGTGGTGATTTAGTTTGTGTTTGTCATTAATTTTTGAGCAAAAAGAAGCAACAGGTGGACAAGTAAAAGTCTTTTACCCAAAACTGCAAGCTGGTGGCATGTAGATGAGATAGAGGACACCTCATGTTACATTCATTGATTGGTTTAAATAAATGGTGACTGAAAATGATGATTGCGTTCCAAATTACATGTATGTTATTTAAAAGGTCCCAAAGCATAAAGTGATAGCCAATTTATGGTAGCCTTTTGAGATCATCAAATGATGTAATCAAAGTTGCTGTTAAAAGGCATTATACACTATGATGATTTTCATTTATATCTGCTGTGCAGTTTTGTAGGCATGCAGGACAGTCCTTTGTGTCTTTGATGAAGAATTCATTTTTAGTGAGAAGCCTAATATACAAAGCAAGATATGTGTCATAGTAGATGGTACCATATGGGCAAAGTTTGTGGATTGCTGTGGTGATTTCTTTGTGGTTGGCAAACATCTGAGTTTTGGCAGGTCCATAAAGAAACCTGGTTGGTTAAAAGATGGTTTGATTTTATTCAGAGACAAGGTTGACTTGAAATTCAGGCTAGTAACATTTTGGAAGGGCTTTAGATTTGTAAGGTGGTATCACAATATAATAACAATAATTATGACATATTAGTTGCTAGAAATGTACAGTAAATGCATGTTAGATGTTCAGAAAAGTTAAAATTTCTTCACAGCCAGGTAGTCATCCTATGGTTGACCACTTTTAAATTGAACAAAACTGAATTGATTGATTGAAGTACATGTAGTTCTAAATTTATAACATCAACTTCTACAAGAAACTTTCTTTTCTGAAGAAAATGACTTGGTTACTTTTACTTGGCACTTTTTTTGTGCTGTATCATTCACATTCTGTGGGAGGGTTGAAGATACACTTGGACTTGTCATACTAGATCTTTCATCCTCACTGGGATGTAAGAAGAGGTATATTGTGGACCTGCTTTCATGATTGTCAGGTTATCCAATAAGCTAATTACCATTTTTCTAAAGTGTCATTTCATACTCAACTGAAATGACAAGATGGCAGCCTTTCTTTCTTGTGGCAAAAATAATTCACGAGAGAGATCATGTGCAAATTTGAGTTGCTCTTTGCATTCCACTGGAAAGTTTAAATTCCACAACATCAAGTTTATTTGTCAGTCTTCATCTTTGAGATATTGCTGTGGTTGTGGGTAACCATAGACAAAGAAGTTGTTCATTGTCTTGTACTGCATTACCTTTTCCTTCTATGGCCTCATCTATCAGCTTTTGAGTCCTAATTTTGTTTAATTCTTCCACATCTTACTAAACTTCTAATGACCTAAGCATTGGTTTGGTTATAGTGTTTTTGTGACGGAATTCTTTAGAGCCATGAAAATTGTCAGCTGCTTTGCAGGTGCTAGTTGGTTTGTTCTGACATTGAAAAGAATTAAACGAACTCTTGTTCCTTGAGTTACTCCTCTCCCTGTGGTTTTCCAGCAACTCAACTTTACATTGTCTTGTTAGTTTTCAGTTACAAAATTAGTTATAAACATAACTGGGGAGAACCTTGGCACAGAGAGACAATTTCCCTGTAGATTAATGAGCTTTTTTGAGATTACCAGTTTTTAAACGTAATTGAAAATATGACTTTAAAGGCAAAAAATGTTGAAAGATTTGACTTACACAACTCTAATAATCATTGTGATGAGAATGTCAAATGTATACAACTACACTTGTTTATTAATATGAAATTTGAAAGGAGAGGACTATTGCATACATTGCACGGTATGGAGATAGATAGTCCTTTTGGAGCTTGTTTGAAATGTTGTCAGGTGTGACAGCCTCAGCACTTTAAGGGAAGGTTTAGAATAATTGCTATAGATCTTGTCTTCTGAGACAAAAGTTGTTGGAGGCATGAAAAATGGTATGAATGATTAACAAAAGAAGTTGTTGGTTTGGTGTTAAATGAAGACAAATGCTTATTCTTTTGTCAGA